ATTTTCCCATGCTCAGCTTGCTCCTTTTCATTATCTATCTTCACTACGGTTTAACACTAGTAACCGTATGATAGAGTCTATACTGTCTGTTTTGAGATTTCCTCTGCCAATGGAATTAATCCAAATCTCTATACTTTAGACTCAGACAAACTTTTTGTCTCTGTCTTCCATGCTCCTACTAGTGTGGCCCATTCATTAAGCAGCACTTAAATCATTCTACTGCTTTCCTGCCGGGGTCCAGCCTGTATCAGTTCTACACTGCAGGGGCCATCTATTCCGGACTGATGTCTTTGGAGCTGTGTTTGGAACTAGCCCAACAGTCCCAGGTTCGACCCTAGGTGGGGGAGTGTGGATCAGGGAAGTCGTAGCTCCCCGGTGGCGTTAAGAACAAGACAGAGATATCTTGTCATTTCAGGAGGGCTCCCAGTCCATACAGGAGATACTGGTTTATTCAAACATCCCCTTAAATAGTTTTCTAGAAGCATGGGTACTGGAGGAAGACATGTATTATCATGTATATAGGGCTGACTAGGAAACACTTCCTTTAACCCTAGAGATGCCTTGGAATTCACGTATACAAACCCTCAGACCTCTCATAACACTTGTCTCACTAGTCCTCTGGTGTGCCTCACTGGCCCCCAGGCATGTCCATATGATGGGTATGGGGCCTAGGTCTATTGTTATGTCATTCTCCACTGTGGCCAGGCCATCTGCAGGTAACCAGCCTAAAAGACTACAGGAGATTCAAGCTCCTGGAATTGAGCTGAGGCCTATATTGAAATATCATATTCAGGCCAACACTTTCCTAACTCAAAGTGCCAAAGTTTAAATGCCTCTAGACAAGAACATGGTCGGGCCTATTTCAGCAGTACCCCAGTCCCTGGTATCTATTTGTCTTAGATAGGGATTCTATTACTATGCTGAAATACTATGACCAAAAGCAAGCCAGTGAGCAACTTCTCTCCATGGCCTCTGCATCAGCTCCTGCTCCAGTTTCCTACCCTGCTTGAGTCCCTTTCCAGATGTCCTCCAATGAAGGACTATGATCTAGAAGTGTAAGCTAAATAAACCCTTTCCTGGACATCTTGCCTTTTGATCATGGCATTTCAGCATACAGTAGAAACCCTAACTAACATATAGGGAGACCCATGCATGCCCCATACAGCCATCCTTGTTACTTAGCCTTTCTGGGTCTATGGACTGTGCTGTGATTATCCTTTACTTAACAGCTAATATCCACTTACACCAAGTACATATGTTTGTCTATGTGGTTCACCTCACTTGAGATAATAAAGAACTCATGGAAAAAGACATTAACAAACCAAATAACCCAGTAAAAACGGGACATGAATTTAAACAGAATTCTCAACAAAGGAATCTAAAATGACTGATAAACAAAGAAATGTTCAACATTCTTCACCATTAAGGGAATGGAAATCAAAACTACTTTGAGATTTCATCTTATCCCTGTCAAAATGGCTAAGATCAATGAAACAAGTAGCAGCTCATGCTGGCAAGGGGAACACTCCTTTATTCCTGGGGGGAGTGCAAACCTGTATAGCCACTGTGGAAATCAATATGGCAGTTCTTCAGATAATTGTGAATCTTTCTACTTCAAGACCCAGTTATACCACTATTGGGCATATACCCAAAAGATGCTCTTCCATCCTACCTCAAGGACACTTGCTGAACCATGTTCGTAGCAGCTTTATTCATAATAGGCAGAGACTGCTATGTCTTTGAGAGAAAGTGTTGATTGATGGTTGATGTGGAAAGCTCCTCCACTGAGGAATGTCCCTCAGTAAGTGGGCCTCAGCTGAATAAAAGAGATGACGATGAAGCAAGAGAGAAAGCCAAGAAACAATGTTTGCTCATGCTTTTTGCCTTCAGTTGCTAGCTTGAGTTTCTATCCTAAGCTCCCACAATGATGGACAGTGATCTGATCGAATCAGACAAAAGTCCCAGTTCACAATCTGAGAAGCTTTAGGCTAAAAGAGATAATCAACACAAATTAGAACAAAAAAAATGGACCACCAAAAGTGATTTTGTTGCTGGTCAGAACTTGGAAATATCATCTTTTGGAGGAATAAATACATACCAAGCTGTACACAGAACTTAACTGTCTCTTGTAAAATCTAGAAGATGGGAGTGTTTAGAGTGATGCAGACAGTGGAAATCAAGGTCATAGAATTTCATTTGGAAATAGACTCCATGTAAAAATAAGTTGGAGGTCATTTGTGTGATAGTTTGACCAGAAATCTTTTTATTTTGCCCATGCCCTGAGAAATTGAGTAAGGCAGCATTAAAAAGTAATGAGCTGGTTTCTTAGATGGAATATTGAATCTGTTGGATGGTTATTCAGGACTCATTCAGGACTACAGAGTGAAAAAATCAGCAAGTGGAGCAGAAATAAATGAAAATGATGGCAGTCAAGTGCTGAAACAGTGGCAGGAATTTTCATGGAGATTTTCACCATTAAAGAGAAGGCCCTACAGCTGAAACCTAGCAAGGTGTCTTAAGGGTAATAATACTCCATCAGTTAATGGAAAGATTAGGCAAAGTGATTCCTAGTCCCAGGAAGCAGCTCAGTGCATGACCTGTTGCAGTTGTGGTCAAAGAGAAGCAGGTTCCATCCTAATTAAGAAGCCAGACTTGACAGAATCACCCATTTTGGGCTCGTACTGGAAACAAGAAGAAATCAAAATTTCAGGTTATGAGTTCTTAGCCTGTGGTTTCAGCACTGTTGCAGGTATCTATGGCAGAGTCAGTCGTATGTTGAGAGTTCATTGTATGAAGTTGTGAGGATGAAGCCTGGGTTGCATTGAGAGCACAAGATGTTGAGATACGAAGCTCTGAGACATCTTCCATGGGGAGCTGCATATAGGTAGTAGAAGTAGCCAAATGGATAGATGTATGGATGAGAAGTTGCAGGAAACATGAGCCATCTAAACCCTTTGAAACTGAAGCCCCATGTGCCTGAGACAGAGCTACTGGATTTGGTGTTTTCCCTGCTGTGTTGCAGTCTTGCCTTGGTCCAGTCTTCCTGCACTATGACTCTCTTTTTCTCTTTTGGAATGGGAATGGGCATTCTGTGCCATTGTGTGTTGGAAAGATGTAACTTGTTTTCTGATTTTATAAGTTGTTACAGTCAAGCTATTGCCTTGGATGTCAAAAGAGACTTTGGACATTGAAGCAGAATGGGGACTCTTGCAGATTATAATAGTCATTAAAGTTAGAGTAAATACATGTTCATAATGGGATGATAGCGACCTGGGTCAGAATGTAGACAATTAAATGAAAAGCTTCCAGATAGTATGATGATTTTGAACACTTGTTTCTCCTTGGTGGCTATCTTTGGAGTGCTTGCAGAACCTTTAGTGGAAGGAGTCTTTCTGGATGGAACTCCTCTTTGGGGATAGGACTTGCATGTCTGTATCCTCAACCCACTTCCTGTTCTTTGTGTCCTGTTGTTATGACTTCACCACCATTATAGATGATATCACTAAAGAACAAAAAAACAACTGAAACAACTGCTATTCAATGCTAAGCTATTTTGGTAGCCTGATTTTTATTTTTTTTTGGTTTTTATGAGACAGGGTTTCTCTGTATTGTTTCGGAGGCTGGCGGTCCAGCCCGGCCTCAAACTCACAGAGATCCGCCTGCCTCTGCCTCCCGAGTGCTGGGATTAAAGGCGTGCGCCACCACTGCCCGGCTAGATTTTTTTATTGTTGTTTTTGAAGACAAGGTTTCTCTGTGTAGCCCTGGCTGCCCTGAAAGTAGCTCAGTAGACCAGGCTGTCCTCAACTCAGAGATTCAAATGATTCGGGATCCTGGACTGCTTGCTGGGTTTTTAAAGGTGGGCCAACATGCTTGCTTTTATTATTATTATTATTAGCTGGTAGGCCTGGAATGTAGGTTTTTGTATGAATGTCAGGCATATGTGAGTTTCACCCACAACTTTAATTTTGAAGTAAATGTGGCAGAGGGTCTCATTCTCTTTCCAGGTTGGCAATATTCATGAAATTAATATTGCCTGAGCCTGTGAGTCATTGAATTGCAGATGTGTGACATTCTTCTTACACACTGCTGTTATTTTGAATTCCTGTGAACACATATGAATATTTTGCCTGTATGTATAGATAGATATCCACCACATGTGTGCTTGGTTTTCACAGTAGTCAGAAAATGGCCTCAGCACTCCTGCACTTGGAGTAATGAATAGTTGTGAGCCTCCATATAATTACTGGCCACTGAACCACCTATCTGCAAGACCAGCAGGAGATCTTAACTGCTGAATCATCTATCCTTCCCTATGTTGTTTATTAACGAGCAACATTTACGTTGCTAATATTTTTATTTGTCTATTTGTAACTGCATTCATTTTTAGTAAGATCTTACTAATGTTACAGTTTAAACTGCGGCACTTCAGGTTTCTGGGCAGTGAATACAGAACTGGAGTGAATGCATTCTTTGTAAGAACTTTTGTAAAAACCTCTCAGTTCTCCTTTTTGTTTGTTTGATTTTTGTGGTGGAGACAGGTCTTAATAATATGTAAGTAATTCTGGCTATCCTGAAACTCATTGCATATGACAGGCTGGCATCCAACTCAGTTAAATTCATCTACTTCTACCACCTGAGTCCTGGGATTAAAGGCATGAGTGAAGACACCCAGCTTGCCAATCTATTTATACTTTGTAGTTTTCCATTCAATCACTCTGATGTATTCTCAGTTCTTTTGATCGGTTTGCTTGCCTCTCTTTATGTCTGTTAGTAGGCATTTTTCTTTCAAGGTTATATCCTATTCAAAGGGTACAAAAAGGACAGAGGTGAACCTCTTATTCAGTTTCCTTCTAGAGGGACTTAGTGTTATATTACAACTTCAGTGTCATAGAATAAGTGTGGGGAGCAACAAAATTATATGAACATATTGTCAAAGAAGTATACATCTACAATTTTTCAGTATTACGCTTTCTGTTGTACACATGTGTGGGATATTTTAGAATGCAGTGACCTATGATGATGTGCATATTCACTTCACTTGGGAAGAGTGGGCTTTGCTGGATCCTTCCCAGAAGAATCTCTACAAAGATGTGATGCTGGAAACCTGCAGGAACCTCACTGCTATAGGTAAGACTGAATCTCCCTTCATATTTTAAAATAAGGGAAGAACTGTTTCTTGGTTATTGATACGCTTCTGTAATTTCAATTGAGAAAGAGGAAAAATGAGGTGAATAAATCAGGTATGGGCTTAAGGTTCACTGAAGATAGTAACTTCAATATTGTAAAATTTCCCGTAATGTGTCATACATGTTCTGCTACTATATTTTAGGCTGCAATTGGAAAGACCATAATATTGGAGAAGGATGTCAAAGTTCTAGAAGACATGGAAGGTAATTTTCATTTACAGCTGATAAAATGTACATTTGAAGAAATTTTAATATGTCCTAGAAGTTTTAAAGAAAAGACAGTATAAATAATCACAGTATAACATGTATTGATGATTATTAAATTCTCACAAAACCATATACCTCATGTCAGGTAGCTGATATGTATTTGCAAGGCATTTCTTTAAGAAAGAAGACAAGGAAAGAATGCTTTAATTAATAGCACCATTTGAATCATAGCCCCATAAGAGCTACCCTGTGGAACTGCCAATCCTTTTAGTTTCATATCACTTAGATATTGCAAAAAGGTATAGATGTTGAATAGGTCATAAATACATCTCAGAAACCTTCTAGTAAACAATCATCCATAGAAAGACTCATATTACTCATGTTCTTGTGACTTTACTAAGTTTAGTGAGAGGGAAAGTTTATAAGAGTCAAGAAGGTTGCTGTGAGAAATGTTAATACTTATACCACATGTCTATGAGGAACAGAAAGTCAAAATATATGGATGCAGTGAATATCTTTTCTTTGTTATTCTTCTTCCAATAGATATCTTATCTATCACTCTGGATACAAGCCATCTGCACATAAGGATATAGAAAGAAACAGCGAACCTCTTTTTCTCCCAGAACAGTTAGAAGATAGTTAGTAGTCCCTGCTTTGAGTAGATTTGTTGAATGTGATACAATGTACAAGTTTACAGTTAATTAGTTTTCCAACTTTATTGGGAATACATCAACAACCTCACATTGCAGAAAATCCCTATGAATATTGGAATGTATAAATACATCTGGTTGTCATGGTTCACTGTGCAAATGTGGTGTGACTCACACTACAGGAAAACTTACAAATGCAATAAGTGTGTAAAGCTCTGAGTTCTGCCAGTTCTCTTCAAATATGTGAAAAATCTCATATGGAAAAAAGATGCTATATGTATGGGCCATATTTTAGAAAAGGCTCTTACTATTACAGGTATCTTCAGAAACACAAAATAACCCTTAATAAAGGGGAACACAATGAGTGTAAACCTTAAGATCTGATTCCTCTTTGCAATTAGACCAAATTGTAAAATTAATTTATGCAGATACAAAGATTCATCAGTGTAATGAATGTGTTAAAAGCTTTTACATGTACCAATTATCTTTACAGGCATGAAAAAAGTTGTGCTGGAGAGAAACCCTCTGAATACACGCAATGTTGTACAACCTTTGCATGTCATAGTCATCTTCAAAGGCTTGCAAGAATTGATACTGTAGAGAAGCCCTATGGAGGTATTGAATATGGTGCAACCTTTGCGCAGCATAGTAGACTCCAAATACAGAAAGGAAAGCATACTGCAGAGAAACCCCATGAATGTAATCAGTGTGGCAAAGCCTTTGCACAACACAGTTATCTCCAAAAACATAAAAGAATTCATACTGGAGAGAAACCTTACAAGTGTAATCAATGTGGTAAAGCCTTTGGACGTCATGGTCATCTGCAAAGGCATGAAACAACACATAGTGGAGAGAAACCTTACATATGTAATCAATGTGGCAAAGCCTTTGCATGTTATAGTCATCTTCAAATACATAAAAGAACACATACTGGAGAGAAACCTTATGAATGTAATGAATGTGGGAAGGCTTTTGCATGTGAGAGTAGTCTTGCAATACATAAAAGAACACATACTGGAGAGAAACCTTATGAATGTAATCAATGTGGTAAAGCCTTTGCACATCATAGTAATCTCCGAATACATAGAAGAACACATACTGGAGAGAAACCCCATGAATGTCATCAATGTGGTAAAGCCTTTTCCCGGCATGGTCATCTCCAAATACATAAAAGATCACATACTGGAGAGAAACCTTACATATGTAACCAATGTAGTAAAGCCTTTTCATGTAACACTCATCTTCAAATGCATAAAAGAACACATACTGGAGAGAAACCTTATGAATGTAATCAGTGTGATAAAGCCTTTGGACGCCACAGTCATCTTCAAAGGCACAAAACAACACATACTGGAGAGAAACCTTACAAATGTGATCAATGTGGCAAAGCCTTTGCACGCCGTAGTTATCTTCAAGTACACAAAAGAACACATACTGGAGAGACGCCTTAGGAATATAATGAATGTGCTAAAGCCTTTGCGTGTCAAAGTAGTCTCAGAATATATAAAAGAAGACATACTGGAGAGACACCTTATGAGTGCAATTAATGTGCTAAAGCCTTTGCACATCTTAGCAGTCTCCAAAGACATAAAAGAACACATAGTGGGGAGAAACCCTACACATGTAATAAAGGTGATAAAGCCTTTGCATGTATCAACAGCCTTCAAAATCATGAGAAAAGAATCATATCACAGAAAAACCATATATATGTATATATATATATAATATATATTGAGTATGGCCAAGTTTGCACTTCATTGTAGTCTATACAAGAGTAAAACTTGTAGTGTGCAATTGGTCTGTTAAAGCCTTTGCATATCACAATGATTTTTGAGAACTTGAAAGAACTCATACCTAAGGGAATTTGACTACAAAGCATTTGGTAAGATCTTTGGCCAGCACACTTAAAAGATTATTTATTGTGGAGAAAAAAAATCTGATGAATGTCAACAGTCTGTTCAAGCATTATGATATATCTCTATTTTGTTTGCACCTGCAAATGCATGTGGACAGAAGCCCTGTGAATTTAAACAGTAAGTTATCCCTTTTAAATTTCATACTTCAATTACATGAACTAGCTCATCCTTGTATAAAACTTATGGATGTGTTATAGTGCCTTTTCTGTTGCTGTGATAAAACGTAATGTCTAAGTCAATTTATGAAAGAGCTGGTACTTGGTTCCGGAGGGATACAGAATCACGTGAGCGTGGCATGGCAACAGTTGTCAGATATAACAGCTAAAGCAGAATCCTAAGAACTTACATCCTCAATCTGCAGCGTGAAGCACAGAGTGGGGACTGAAAATGGTGTGTGAATGTAAACTTTCAGATGCAACCCAGTGACTTTTCTTCCCGCAGGGTAGCATTTCCCAAATCTTCCCAAATGACCCCACCAACTCAGAATGATTGATTTCTCTGTCTTCAGTCCTATGTGATTTCTTTCTGTTACACGAACCAATTCATGATGAAGGAACATTCTGTAAGTAAGCCTTTAAATGCCTTAACACCTGTGTTATAGGAATTAATGAATACAAGAGAAAAATATTCATGAGTGAAATTTTGTTTAAAGATTTGATTCAGTTTCAGTTATGTGATGTCAGTGTGTCTCTGTGTGGGTATGCACATGTGCATGCTGGTTCCCAAGAAGGTTTAGACCACTGGATTTTTCTCTTTTTTTGTAATAGGAGTTACAGGAAGTATCAAAAACCTGACCTTGATCCTAGGATTGAATTTGTCATAACTGTTTGGCCATTTCTCTAGCCCTGTGAGTACTATAGAGGCTTTTATATCATCTTGATATCAGGAAATAGGGAAGAACTCATTCAAGAGAAAAACCCTGTTCATATAAGTGATTTGGTAAAGAGTTATATATCACAGTTATCTTCTGTTTCTCTTAAGTAATTTATAGAATGGGATGCCCATCATTGATGCTGCAATGATAAACGGCACACTTGTTGAGGGTATAGGTAACTGTTTATTGTAGAAATTACACAAGAGAAAATGGGCAACCCAGATGAGTCAAGTCTTCGCTACCAAACCGAAAGCCAAAAAGAGAGCGAGTGCTCTGCTGTTCAGTCTTTTATTCCTTCCTCCATACACGCCCCCTAGCCACACCCAAAAGTGGGTGTGGTTAGCAGCACGGTTCTGCCCTTTGGTTACCACATCTGTATGTATCTTTAGAGGGCCACGTGGCTAATGGTGGAGTCCTAAGTTTCCCCCTATACATCATCTAAGTGGTCCATTGTTTAATTAAATACTTTTCAAGATAGGGTGTCTGTGAAAAGGGTGGTGGGTTGTTGTTGTTCCTGATTTTATTTTTCATATTTTCACAAATTTATTTGAAATGTTTGTTATCCAGCCTGACTTAGATGTCAGTAATAAGTCATGGATACATTTGAACTCATGATCATTGTGTGCCAGCCTCCTGAGTACAAGTCCAGCTGTAGATGATGTACCCCCAATGTTTGCCATTTTGTCAACAATGTTAACGTTAAAATGCTTAATAGAAGAGAACATAAGAAACATTAAATACTTTATATGTGTATCCAAAGCAGCATTTCCATCTGTCTGGTAGAGATGTAATAATGTAGGATAATCAGCAGTCAGTTGTATATTTCACAGCATAGCTTGATGTACTATGGATGTATATTTGTTATTTGAAGTTCCATGCATCTTCATGTCCCCATTAGTTGTCTATTTGGCACTTTATCTTGAAGAACTGCTTCCATGGGAATTATCTAGAGATGCCAAATTATGTAATGACAATGAGATTTTTTAAAGTTTTATTTATTTAGTATACAGTGGTATGTCTGCATGTATGCCTGCAGGCCAGAAGAGGGCACCAGATTTCATTTCAATGATTGAAAATCACCATGTGGTCACTGGGAATTGAACTCAAGACCTCTGGAAGAACAGTTAGTGCTCTTAACCTCTGAGCCATCTCTCCAAAACCTTTTTGCCTCTACCCCCACCCCTGCCACCCTTCGTGGCCTGTGGTGGTTGGGAGAGCTGACCCTGAGATTCTAAGAGTGGGAGAGTTGCTCCTGCCCCACACCAGCTGCAGCACTTGGAAAATAAGCCCTATACCTTGCATTGGCAGCACATTAGAGCCAACCCTGTTTTGGAGGGTGTGGGTGAACCAGCCCCAAGAATGTGAGCTTGGGAGATGTAGCCCCATCTCTCATCCGCAATATGGTGGTGTGGGCAGGGGAGAGATGCCTACCCCCCTGCTCCTTGCTGCCTGTCATGGGTGGCCCTGAGGTCATGAGAGTGGGAGAGCTGTGCCTGCCCATCACCAGCTACAGCACTTGGGAGAGTGGCACCTGTACCTTGCCTGGACAACACAGGAAAGCTAGCCCTGCTGCTGTAGTTGTGGTAGAGCTGACCCCGAGGGCATGAAAGCAGATGGACTGGCCCCGCCCCTTGCCTATCGCTGCAAAGAGTGACCTAGTCAGTACAGTGCCCCATGGTCAAGGATGGGGGAGAGCTGGTAGACTGACCAAACCAGAAACTACTCATACACAGAACTGGGGTTATGAGTTGGCACACCCCCCAAATCTACCCTGTTTATGATCTTCTGGAGCATGTGAAGGGGCCAGGCCTGTAGATCCAAAGCTGCAGGGTCTCCGTGACACAGGGCAACAACAGAATGTCCAAGAGGAGTCCCAGTGAGGGCCCAGTATCGCTAGTGTAGCAGAAACCAGAGGACTCAAACCAGACAAATGTCTCTTTGCACTGGACACTTGCAAGTAAAGATATATCAATAAAAGGGTAAATTGTGTGACTCACTGTGTCACTCTACAGCTTCCATGATGAGATCTTTCTTTGTTTTATTTTTTTCTCCTTTTTCACTTAAATTTTACTTTGTGGGGCAGGTTGCAAGGGCAGAGGATGGGTACAAAGGGGTAGGTTGGTGATTGGGATTGAGATGCGTGATGTGAAAAACACAAAGAATAAATAAAGAAGAGAGTTTAAAATATCTCTGTTGTGTGTGTATCATATGTGATCATGGATTCTTAGACCATGATAAATATGTAGAGACAGGAAGACAGCTTTCTGGGGTCTACTTCTGGTGTGAATGGGTGATCCTGACTTCATCATTTCCTCAGCCCTGATGACCCAGAAAAAATACAAGATTCATGGCATCAGAATCCCATGGTGCTTTAAGAAGTTTCTGAGTCCAAATCTCCACAAAGTGTATCCACTCAGCTGTGGTGGGTCAGCCCCCTCCAGTCTTCCACTCTTCCCTGTTTTTGGCAACTATATGTAACTGTCGGTGACAATATTGCGCACCCCCCCTTTGTGGTCCCTACTTGAACCCCAAAGCTCCTCCTTCCCCACCCCAATATCCCTGTAACCTGCCTGTTGTGTAGGAATAAGGGTATTCTAAACAGTCATCTTTGTCTCTCCCTGTTGTTAACATCCCTGTAACCTGCCTGTCATGTAGGAATAAGGGAATTCTAAACAGTCATCTATGTCTCTCCCTGCTAACAACTAGTGAAAGGGTGGACCCCATGAAATTCTAATTCCCCAGGAATCTCTTTCTGGGAAAAGACCGAGTCATTAGGATGAGGAAGTCTCTACTGAAGAAACATTTACTCCTTGCAGGAGAGCCTGCAAGGAGAGGCAGGGCCTGAAAATGGGGGAGGGTTTTAGAGATCGGAAAATTCATTATATGGCTTCATTAGATGACTTAGTTTAGCATATCTTTTGTTTTCTATATAAACTTGTTAGGACTCAAAGGATGGATTAGTTACCTTATAGTTTCATCACTGTTCCAAACTAGTCAAAATGAATAAATATCATGTTTTTGATTTTCATTAATAATTTGCTTTGTTTTCTACTTATGCCTTTCCTTTCAATTTTTTTCTAACGGAGAGTCTCACTATGATTCTACAGCTGTCCTGGAAATCACTCTATAGACTAGGCTGTCCAAGGACATCAGAGAGACCTGCCCATCTTTCCTCCAGAGAGCCTGCATTGTAGGTGGGCACACCAAAACTGAATAACTTGGTTCTTTTAATCGGCTTACTGAGGATGAGTGGCTAAGCCTGGCTGGTTAGGGTAGCCAGGACACAGGCTATGGTCCTAACTCTAGTAAGAGAACAAGGCTCCCATCAAATGCAACCCTCTTGATTTAAAGTTCACTGTCTTCCAACTATAAGCAATATTGCTTTCTTTATCACTGGGTCTGTTATAACTCATCAAAAGACTAGGGAAGATTCTGCCCTTATCCTATGGATGGTGAAGCCCAGGCTCACAGAGGTAAGTGGCTTTTGAATATAGATAAGTACAATTGCCTGTCTTACTCATCCTGTCATTCTGATGCCTCATTAAATGAAGCTGAAGCCACCCAAGCCAGGCATGGTGGCACAGCCCTGTAATCATGGTACTTAGGAAGTGGAGGCAGGAATTTCAGGATTTCTAAATCATCAGAGGTGAAAATCATCAATGGGGTATGGTGGGAAGCCCACAGGATCAAGGGAGACTGTGATTGACTCAGAACAATGTCCATAGTCTGCAACTCCAGAACTTCAGGGCCATGGCATCAGCAAGTGTTAGCTGAGGTATTTAAGCCAAGTTTTCTGTTTTTGAAAATGTTTCCTGTCCAAGGCAGCCTAGGCCAAATGAAGGTCAGGCTCCTGTTGTTCATTAAAAGTGAAATTCTACAGGTGGGAGACTTAGCCACAGGCAGGGATGAGCTCCTTAAAGTGCATATCCAATGCAATGTGTTCTGCCCTGAAACCATATACACACAACCAACAGAAATGGACTTGGCAGGTTTTTTTCTTGTATTTGTGCTTGCATATTCACACATACTCAACAAGGAAGAAAATGGAAGGGAAGAATTCGGGAAGGGATGGGGGGAGAACAAGGAAGGAGGAAAATGATGTAGCATATGTTAATCAAAATATGTGGAAATAAAGTATAAGTAAAAAAGCAGCTAGAGAGATAGATCAGCAGTTAAGAGCACTGGGTAGTGAGTGCTACAGAGGACACAGAGTCCATTTCCAGAAACCCCCAGCTCCTGTAACTCCAGTCCCAAAGGCACTGGTGTCCTCTTCTGGCCTCTGCAGGTACTGTGCACAGACACTTGCAGACAAACACATACAAAAAACAAAATAAAGCTTGAAAGTTTAACAGTCTACAGTACAGTCACAGGCCTGAGATGGACAGCAGGCAGAGCTAGTTAAGATGATTCCTTCTGATCCTGCATGGGAGCAGCTGGCTTCTCTGAGCCAGCTCGCCCAGATGCCAAAGCAGCCTTTTTCTGAGGTTAGAATAGCTCTGCAGAACTGCTCGACTAAGAGCAGCATCCGTAGTATTGATTGGTGACTTTCCCTTGACTTTTCTGTTTTCGTCTTCTCTGCCCTTTGTATGTGTGAGAAGTAAAGACAATTTTGCATCTTTTAAATGTAGATCATAATGTATGATCTAAAAGATGGATTTCCTCTGTAAACCTCCATCTGCCCGAGGGGCTAGACTTGAAGTCTCCTGTCCCCATTTAAATTGTTCAGTGCAAACCTGAGGCCTAAGAGAGACGTTAGGGTGGTAGCAAAACTGGAATGCAAAATCTGATCTAGGTTGGTTTCTCTTTTAGAATTGCTGAAGTCAGATGCACACTGCTATTAAGGAAAATTTTAATTAAATTAAATATTTAAAGTAATTTCTTCCTGGGAAGGCATATGCATTCTAGAACAGCTGTACCTCCAGCCTTTTAGAGAGATTTTCTGAGACAAGCTCTCAAGGGCAATGACCTTTCTGTCCTTTTGATTAAACTATCTAAATTCTTAGATTAAAATCTGTACCAGGTTGGGCCTTGACTGGTCAGTGAGAAGGGAAGAAGAGACTGGGAAATGAGTGTCCTAATGCAGCCCACGCTTCCGGGGGAGTGGTTGAGCGGAGGTGTTTTGTAAGAATGGGAATTCATTGTCCATACGTTACAAGCTGTTACGGTCACAGTACAGAAAGGGAGGGGCTGAAAGGAGTTTGGAAGTTTCCAGTTTTGACTGCAGTTGGCATTACCAATGTGCAATCAGTTAATCAATTATATGTAATCTATACATGTCCTGAGTGGCCATTTCTTGGGTTCCACAGAGCAGGTTCCTTGGCCAGGGGATTGACATACCCCCATTGAAATGGTTTGTACCCAGGACAGAGATTGTGTTCCCTTGACCAGCGCCGTTTTCTTTTTCATAGATCATAACTCATAATTCATAATCTGTAATTTACATTTCATAATTCATAACTCACATTTCATTTTATGAGTAATATTTCATAATTCATAATCCATAATCCATATTTCATGGCTCATAATCCATAATCCACAATTCATAATACAAAATTCATCATAATCCACAATTCATAATCCATAATTCATATACATAATTCATAGTCCACATTTCATGATCCATATCTCATAATTCATAAATCTTAATTCATAACCCATAAACCATATTTCATAATTCATATTCATGATTCATAAGTCATAATTCACAATCCATATTTCATAATTCATAATTCAAGATTCATAACCCGTGGCCATATTCATATTCATACCAATAGTCCATATTCATAATTGATAGTTCATAATCTATATTTTATAATCCATGTTCATTATTCATGATCCATATTTCATAATCCACAATTCATGATTCATAATTCATAGTACAGATTTCATGATCCATGTCTCATAATTCATAATTTATAATCTTAATTCATGATTTATAACCCATAATCCATATTTCATAAATCACAATTGAGAATCCATAATCCATATTCATGACCCATATTTCATAATTCATATTCATAATTCACAATCCATATTCCATAATTCATAATCCATAATCCATATTTTATGATTTATAATTAATAATCCATATTTCATATTCATTTTTATAATTCATAATTCGTTTTCCATATTTCATTTTTCATAATTCATAGTTAATGATTCATGATTTATATTTCACATTTCGGTGCCTGCCCGCCTGCCTGCCTGTGAGTGTGGGTGCCACCAACTCCAGGCGAATAATTTCATTCTTTTGTTCGTATTTATTGTTTGAAAACAGATTGAGAAATTATTTGTAAGAAAGCCATTTCCGAGATTTCTGGACTGTCTTAGGCAGTCTTCTCTGAGGACATGAGTGGTCTCCAGAAACAATGTGAGATCCTCACTTTGAGGAAAAAGTGGCAGAAATTCCCCCAAATCAGGATAACCTGCGCTTTAAAGGCACTTTTTCCCCAGGTGGGGCCAGGTGCTCTCCAAAGTAGGAGGCAGGGCAGCTATGAAGTCTTCTGCCAGGACTTTGACCTGCGAGGAAGGAGATGCTTCCCCTGTCACTCAGGATTCAGGAGGTGGGCCCGCGGACTTTTGGTCAAGCAGGGAGAACGTTTGGTGACTGTGTCAACTGTTCAATGAGGAGTTTTGGCCTTCGGTGACAGAGGCTGCACAACATTTAGGGTGCCGTGGTGTGTCCCCACTATATTGTCCATCTGTGTCTTTGGCTGAGGTCCCCAGGTCTCTCCCCTTGGTATCTGCGTCCTCTCCACTGACTGCAAGAGTCTCAGGAAGACATCAAAACTCCCGGTCTCTGGAAATGGTGCGTGCCACAGGGCTTGAGGAGGAGACTGCTACATATCATGTAGATTCTGCCTAATGTCTGGAGTGTGATTTTTTTCCCATGCTGTCAAGGCTTGTTGAGAAACTAGTTCTCAGGGGTCACTTGTGTTTGAGAGGAACCTCAGACTAGGTTTCTTTCATCAGTTGTCTGGCAATGTGAGGATAAGCTAAAGTCTTTGCTTCCTTTGAAGCCTTGAGGAAATCCTTCCCACACTGAACTTCCTTTGTGTAGACTGGACAACGTTTCAAAGTCATTGAGTGGGATGTCCATGGCCTCCATGAGCAAGACAACAAGTGATCAATGGCCTTAGTCCTCAGGACCTCATTGACCTTATAGAGAAAGGGGAGAAATATTTTCC